TCTTATTTATTCCACAGACTGTGTTTAGAGATCCAGGGATTTATTTCAAATAATATAGGAATCAGCAAAAGAGACACCATTACTTTTATATAAGAAACAAGATTTACCCTCAAATTTTTATATGGCACTACTATTCATATTTAGCACATTATTGTTTTTCTTCACTAATAGGACCATGCACAGAACTAGGCAGCAATCTCTATCTGGCTTTGTTTTCAGAACACGCATCTCTGGCTCATCATGGTTGCTCATGTTTGTAATCCCAGCACTTTGGGAGGCTGAGATGGGTGGATCACTTGGGGCGAGGAGTTCGAGACCAGCCTGGCCAGCATGGTGAAACCCCCTCTCTACTAAAACTACAAAAATTAGCCAGGTGTGGTGGTGTGCGCCTATAGTCCTAGCTGCTTGGGAGGCTGAGGCATGAGAATCGCTGGAACCTGGGGGTGGAGGTTGTGCTGAGTCGAGATCATTCCCTTTCTTTCTTTTTCTTTTTTTTTTTTTTCTTCCTTCAGGAGTATGTTTATTGTGTTTGAGATGATACGTCAGGTGCTGTCTGAGCTACAAAGGGTAAAAGGAAATCCTCTTATTACAAACAGACAAAGGTAAAAGGTAAAACACTTTTCACAACAGCATGAACCACATACTCAGAAATAGATCTGAGTTTAATACAAATGACATAATTCCTAGTCATCTACAGCTACTTTTATCACTTCATGCAGGTAATGAATGAGGCTAAAATGCACTATAATATTTGGTAGACTTCAGGACCAGTATCCTTAGTACATCACAAAATACATTTTGATATCCCAGAGAAGCAAGACTTGCAAGTAGGCATTTTAAATATAACTAATCTACAGCTGCAAAGTTCTACTCTTGATCGCATTTACCTTTTTGGGCAGTCTCCCAGGCTCCAAAGGATAAAAGCAGAGTAGAATCACTGTAACATATACACAGAAGTTCATATCGTAAAGGCTATAAAGTTTTGCAGCACAGTGAGAAGATGCCTTCTGCTCCTTCACACTGCATCCAAATTATGTGAATTATGTTGTGTATCTCTTGGTCCGCTGTCAGGCTATCCTGTCGTGTTCTGTGCTGTTGGTCAAATACGGAGTGACTATGCTTCCACCCGAGGATCTGGGTTGCAATCTGTCAAAAGGGAACAAATGGACAGCAAAACCTTTGAAATAGTCAAAGCAGGACTCCAGTTGTCTTTAAGGATGTCCAGACAGATGACTCCCTGACTGTTGATGTTGCAGTGATAGATTCTGATGTGGAAAGTAACCTTTGGTGGCTTAAATGGATAATCTGATGAAAATGTGATATCCAGAAAAAACACACCACCTTCATATACAGAACCCGGTGGACCAAGTATAGTTGATCTCCATTCATAAATGTTATCTCCTCAGGCCCAGCACTGCAATTAGGAGAAGGATCAAGGGTTATTTGAGCTAGCTCCTTCTGAATTCTTTTCGCACTAGTGGATAACTTAGCAGTGGTTTTGCTAGAGAGTTTGGTGTTTTTTCTTCTGCTGGGTGGCAGAAGGTTTTCTTTCTTCATGTTCTTCAGCCTCTGGAGCAGCTGGGTCTTGCTGGTCCGCATCTGCCACTGCTGGTGCTGGGGCTGTCACCATCGGACCTTTGCCTATCACTGGACATCTTGGTGAAGTTATCGCTTGGAAAACTCGGCCGCCTGCCTGGCCTGTTCACACGCCACTATGGTGTGGGGGAGGAAAAGAGAAAAAAACTCTTCCTTAAGGAAATGGAGGCAGCTGTGGCGGGGGGAAAGGGGAGAGAGGGAAAAAAAGAAGCCGAGGAGGCTCTGACCGGGGAATGTGGAACACTGAAAGTCAGAAGGGGTTGTGCAGTCAGATCACGCCCATTCTTTAAGAATTGTACTCCTTTTGTATTCTTAAACTTTAAAGATCATATTTGGGAAGTTTGAAATAAGTATTTCTGTGTAATATTTACACATTTCAATATTATTTACCATCTGTACTTAATTGGAAACCTATTGGTCATTATATTTTGTAGATATCTCTTCGAAAAGCATGATGGAATTCTCGTCAACAGAGCAAGGTAATACAGGAGAAGGTTTCTACATAGGGATGTTGGAAAGACATAAAAGTCATCACATTGGAGATTTTTGCTTCCCAGAAATTAAGAAAGATAATCATGACTGAGTTTTAGTGGAAAGAAGATGAAAGAAATGGCCACAAAACATCCATAACAAAACCCAAAACGTTTACTGATAGTACAGAGTGATATGATCGAAGGCATGCTAGAAACAAGCCTATTAAAGATCACTTGGAGTAAGCTTTCATTCGCATCTGCCTGAACTGCACGTATTTCAGACCAAAAGGAAAATTGGTAATCCAGTGGAGAAGTCTATCAACAATGCTTCCTCAGTTTCAACAGCCCAAAGAATTTCTTGTAGGCTCCAAACCCATATTTCTCATAAGTATGGGAATAATTTCCTCCATTCTTCATTATTCACACAAAAACGTAAGAGAAAAACCTTGCCAATGTAATGAGTTTGGCAAAGCCTTTAATTGTAGGTCACTTTGTAAATACTTGTAATGATTAGTGTTTGGCTTACTGGACACGGCTTTGAAAAACATGAGTTTGGTCCTCCCATCATAATCTACCTAAAAGGTAGGTACAAATCAACACATTTGATAGGTTGTTGGGAACAAGCCCCCCCAAAATCTGGCCATAAACTGGCCCCAAAACTGGCCATAAACAAAATCTCTGCAGCACTGTGGCATGTTCATGATGGCCATAACGCCCCCGCTGGAAGGTTGTGGGTTTAGCGAAATGAGGGCAAGGAACACCTGGCCCACCCAGGGCAGAAAATCACTTAAAGGCATTCTTAAGCCACAAACAATAGCATGAGCGATCTGTGCCTTAAGGACATGCTCCTGCTGCAGTTAACTAGCTCAACCTATTCCTTTAATTTGGCCCATCCCTTCATTTCCCATAAGGGATACTTTTAGTTAATCGAATATCTATAGAAGCAATGCTAATGACTGGCTTGCTGTTAATAAATACGTGAGTAAATCTCTGTTCAGGGTTCTCAGCTCTGAAGGCTGTGAGACCCCTGATTTCCCACTTCACACCTCTGTATTTCTGTGTGTGTGTCTTTAATTCCTCCAGCACCGCTGGGTTAGGGTCTCCCCGACTGAGCTGGTCTCGACTATAGGTGAAATTAAAAGATGAAATTATATCAAGACAAAGAAAATTGTGGTTGAAATTCTTTGTATACTGGGAGAGGAAAAACTGGCAGTTCCATGGCACAAATCAAGAAATATTGATAAAGTAAAGATCACTAAATTGGTCTATGTGAAATTAAAAATATCAGTCTGGCATGGTGGCTCATGCCTGTAATCCCAGCACTTTGGGAGGCCGAGGTGGGTGGATCACCAGAGGTCAGGAGTTCAGATCCAGCCTTGACCAATATGGTGAAACCCCATCTCTACTAAAAATACAAAAATTAGCTGGGTATTTTGGCATCCGCCTGTAATCTCAGCTACTAGAGAATCAGGCAGGAGAATCGCTTGAACCCAGGAGGCAGAGGTTGCAGTGAGCCAAGATCACGCCATGGCACCCCAGTCTGGGAAACAAGAGTGAAACTCCTTCTAAAAAAGAAAAAAGAGAGAGAGAGATAATGGACAGTGTTGTGGAATGAATGTGTCCATCCCAGAACATATATGTTGAAATTCTAACCCTCAATGTGATGGGATTAGGAGCTGAAGACTGTGGGAGGTGATTAGATCACAGAAGGGAACCCTCAGGAATGGATGCATGCCCTTAACACAAGAGGCACCGAGCACTTGGTTCCTTGTCTCCCTGCTCTCTGTCTGCTTGAGGCCACAGCAGAAGATATATCACCCAGCTACATCTGGACCACATCGGCTGCAAAACACGTCGTTAACCTTGGCAAAGTAAACTTTCTAAATTGAGACCTATTAGATTCTTTTGGTTCACAAGCTCATGAACACAGAAGAAATCAAGATAGAAAACAAACGATCTAATGAAAAGCATAAAATAAGTTCATAAATCTGAACTCCATATATATTGAACATAGAGGAAATGGTCTTCTCAAACTGTGTGTGTTTATATTAGATCGCATTTTTGAAAGACATTTCTACTATTTGATTAACCATCCTATGTAGTTTTAGCCAATATAAAACTGAAAATAATAAATGATCAATTGTATACATACATTTAACTTCTTAATATTTCCCATAGCGTTGCTATTACTATTTTATGTTATTGGAGTAGGTGCTCAGTCTATCTTTGATATATTGCTGGAGTGGTGTCTTCCACAATGGTGCTCAGACTCTGTGGTGTACGAGTGGATAAACTGTTAAGCAGGAACCTAGGAGAGCCAGGATGTCAAAACTCAAGTCCTTTAAAACTAGGAAGACATACTCCTTACTGCACAAGTCAAGGTCATAAGATGTTAATGGTTAAGGAAAGCAGCTTATGGTATCTGCAAGGACAAACTCCTACAGAAACACAATTCCACATGACCCAATATCCCATGACAATGTATGCTTCCAAGATAATTACAGTCATGCTTTCAAGTACTTGCACACTAAAATACCAAGGATCGCTTTAAATCAACAAAGTAGTAAGTTTTGTCACACTATCAGCCCACCAGCAGTTAGCTTAGCTTTTACCTAAGCCCCTAAACAAGAAAAACTTGAAACAAGAGGCATTCCCCCTGCTTTCTGAGGAACCCTACTGTGTAACTAGTAGCTTTTTTTTTTTTTTTTTTTTTTTTAAAAAAAAAAAAAAAAAAAAGAGTTTCGCTTTTGTTGCCCAGGCAGGAGTGTGATGGTGTGCTCCGGGCTCACCACAACCTTCACCTCCCGAGTTCAAGCCATTCTGCCTCCGCCTCCCGAGTAGCTGGGATTACAGGTGCCCAACATCATGCCCGGCTAAGTTTTGTATTTTGAGTAGAAAAATACAAAATTAGAGACCAGCCTGTTGACTAGGCTGGTCTCTAACTCGACCTCAGGTGATCCGCCTCCGGAAGTGCTGGAATGACCTGTTTTTCTTCTTAATTTGAAAGTGGTTTAAATGCAAAGCGCCTTTTGTGAGCAGGTAAAGACGCCTGCAGCGGGGTGGGGGTGGGGGTGGGGGTAGGGGGGGCGGGCGAACTCCCCACAGCCTGGGGTAGCTGGGGTAGGGGGAGGGCGAGGTGGCAAGGACCTCGGTAAGGGGGTGGAGTGCGGCGCTGGTTGCAGCCAGGACCGAGATTTAGAACGGCTTGTTTAGGTGCCCGGAGCGGTGGCTCACGCCTGTAATCCCAGCACTTTGGGAAGCCGACGCGGGTGGATCACGAGGTCAGGAGATCGAGACCATCCTGGCTAACACGGTGAAACCCCGTCTCTACTAAAAATATAAAAAACTAGCCGGGCGCGGTGGCGGGCGCCTGTTGTCCCAGCTACTCGGGAGGCTGAGGCAGGAGAATGGCATGAACCCGGGAGGCGGAGCTTGCAGTGAGCGGGAGATCGTGCCACTGCACTCCAGCCTGGGTGACACAGCGAGACCCGTCTCAAAAAAAAAAAAAAAAGAGATGCTTCTTTAAGCAAGGACCTGTGTTGTTTGGATAATGGAAAACGGAGGGTGACATGCATGTGGAACTGCCTATTGCACACTGGAGGTGAAGGACAACTTTCTCGTCCTTTCTTTTCTCAAGACATTTATTTAGAAAACTTATAACTGTATTTTCTCTGTCTTCTTTGTTTTTTGTTTTTGTTTTGTTTGTTTGTTTGTTTTTAGACGGAGTCTCGCTCTATGGCCTAGGCTGGAGTGTAGTGGGGCGATCTCTGCTCACTGCAACCTCCTCCTCCCTGGTTCAAGCAATTCTCCTGTCTCAGCCTCCCGAGTAGTTGGGACTACAGGCGCAAGCCACCACGGTCAGCTGATTTTTGTGTTTTTAGTAGAGACAGGGTTTCACCATGATGGCCAGGTTGCTGTTGGTCTCCTGACCTCGTGATCCGCCCGCCTCCGCCTCCGCCTCCCAAAGTGCTGGGATTACAGGGTTGAGCCACCAGGCCCGGCCTCCTATAATTCTTAAACTGGAAATTACCCAGATAGCTAATGTCAAATAATAACCTTAGATCCTAAATTATGACAAGTTTGTTTACAAGCATGTAAACAAAATTACATTTACCTGGCTAATTTTGTAGTTTACCTGGATTATTTACACACAGAAAGAAACCCTGTGCTAGCTGATGTTTAAAGTTATTAAAGTTTACTTTTTTGGCCGGGCGCGGTGGCTCACGCCTGTAATCCCAGCGCTTTGGGAGGCTCAGGCCGGCGGATCACGAGGTCAGGAGATGGAAACATGGTGAAACCCCATCTCTACTAAAAATACAAAAAATTAGCCGGGCGTGGTGGCACGCGCCTGTAGTCCCACCTACTTGGGAGGCTGAGGCAGGAGAATTGCTTGAATCTGGGAGGTGGAGGTTGCAGTGAGCCAAGATCTCGCCAGTGCACTCCAGCCTGGGTGACAGAGCAAGACTCCGTCTCAAAAAAAAAAAAAAGAGGTTGTTTCGTTTTTGCAGGAACTCTGATGAAACAGGCATTTTAGGTAAAAATGATTATAATTTTATTCTGACATCAGAGCAGAACTTATTGTTAGAAAAGATGGAGCCATATTCTTCTTCCTATTATTAAATTGTTTTTAAATTTTAAACACCACACAATGTATGTATGTGTTGTGTAGTAAAAGTCTGAAGAAAAGTGCATTTATGCGTCCCCTTTCCTGTCCAGCCTTCCACCCGTTCCCATGGCTCAATGGGGAATCACTGCTGAGAGTTCTGTGGCAAGTCAGCATAAGTCCTGCAGAAATATATTCAGACATCATTTTGAGATTTTAGAAAAACATCGTTGATGAATGCGCCTGTCGCCCAGACTGGAGTGCAGTGGTGCAATCTCAGCTCACTGCAGACTCTGGCCCCCAGGTTCAAGCGATTCTTGTGCCTCAGCGTCCCGAGTAGTTGGAGTAGTTGGGACTACAGGTGAGCGCCACCAAGCCTGGCTAAGTTTTTTTATTTTTAGTAGAGATGGGGTTTCACCATGTTGACCAGGGTGGTCTGGAACTCCTGGCTTCAAGTGATCCTCCCTCCTCAGCCCCCCAAAATGCTGGGATTACAGGCGTGAGCCACTGAGCTCGGCATGAGAAATGTTTTGTTGAGGTATTTTATCCTACAAGTTTTGAAAATTTCCATGTTTTGAAGGTAGGAAACAAGAGAGCTTGCTGTTTTTCATCTTTTTTGGCGCATTCTCTGAATGAAGACACCTGAGTCCTTCCCAGTTTTTCGCTGTTACCGCGGACGCCCCGCTGGCTGCCTGTGAGTGTGCTGATTTCGCTACATGTATCTGGAGGTTTCCTGCAGGGGGCGCTATTGAGAAACTGATGGCTTCTTCTAGGATGTGGCGTTTCCTCTTTTCTTAGATCTGGGAAGATTCCATCCCTACTCCCAGCTGCAAAAGCGCTCTTTCTGAGAACACAGAGAGCACCATGTGTCCTGCAGCCTCTGCATTTCAGGCTCAAGCGATTCTCCCAGCTCAGCCTCCCAAGTAGCTAAGACTACAGGTGTGCACCACCATGTCCAGCTAATTTTTGTATTTTTGGTAGGAACAGGTTTTCAACATGTTGCCCAGGCTTATTTTGCATTTTTGGTCTGATTATTTCTAAGTCTCTGTTTTGTTAATTTGTGTTTAATTCCTTGGGATCATCCATGTTTTCTCTTTGTATATCTGGTTAAGGTCTGTTGGAACTTCAGCAGTTCAGAAATCAGCCAGCTTTCATGGTTTCTGGTGTCTGACTTCAGTGAGGAAGAACACTCTCCAATCAGGTTGGCTGGAGATTCCTGAGACCTCTCCAGATTTTTCTCTATTTTCATTTTTTAATTAATTAATTTGAGACAGAGTCTCTGTATGTCACCCAGGCTGGGGTGCAGTGGCACAATCTCAGCTCACCACAATTTCTGCCTTGCAGGTTCAAGTGATTCTTCTCTCTCAGCCTCTTGAGTAGCTGGGACTACAGGTGAGCGCCACCACACCTGGCTAAGTTTTGTATCTTTAGTAGAGATGGGGTTTTACCATGTTGGCCAGGCTGGTTTCACACTCCTGACCTCAGGTGATCTGCCCACCTCGGCCTCCCAGAGTGTTAAGATTACAGGCGTGAGCAACTGCACCCAGCCTTACATTTATTTTCCTTTTTAAATTTATTTAAAGTTATTTTTTTGTTTTTGGGGACAGAGTCTCGCTCTGTCACCCAGGTTGGAGTGCAATGGCTTGATTTCGGCTCATTGCAACTCCGCCTCCCGGGTTCATGCCATTCTCCTGCCTCAGCCTCCCGAGTAGCTGGGACTACAGGTGCCTGCCACCATGTCTGGCTAATTTTTTGTATTTTTAGTAGAGACAGGGTTTCACCGTGTTAGCCAGGATGGTTTTGATTCCTCAGGTAAGTGATATTCCTCAGTGGATTATTCTGTCTCTTTGCTTTCTGAAATGCCAAGTATTGTAGCCAATCTTCTCTGAGCCTGAAGCATCCTGCCTCAGTGGCGCACACCTGCAATCCTAGCTACTCAGGAGGCTGAGGCAGGAGAATTCCTTGAACCCGGGAGGCGGAGGTTGCAGTGAGCCGAGATCACAACACTGCACTCCAGCCTGGGTGACAGAGCGAGACTCTGTCTCAAAAAAAAAAAAGGAAAAAGAAATGTTTTATTTTTATAATAATTGAAATGATGTTAGGTATTTTCCATTGTCATCGGCTATCACAATAGTGACTTAAAAGTAAGAAGAATTGGGCCAGGCGTGGTGGCTCACACCTGTAAACCCAGCACTTTGGGAGGCTGAAACGGGCAGATTACTTGAGGTCAGAAGTTCGAGACCAGCCTGGCCAACATGGTGAAACCTCCTGTCTACTAAAACCACAGAAATTATCTTGTGGTGGCAGGCACCTGTTATCCCAACTACTGGGAAGCTGAGGCAAGAGAATCGTTGGAACCCAGGAGGCACTGGTTGCTGTGAGCTGAGATCGCATCACCACACTCCAGCCTGGGTGACAGAGCAAGACTCTGCTTCTACCCTTGGAATTCTCTCATGTTCTCTCCACTAGGTAAACCCCTGTCAGTTTAGTTTTGAAGCTGTATCTGTTATTTAGGTGGTTATATTCAAAGCTGAATCCCAGACATCTGGATTCAGGTGCTTAGGTTGACATTTTTAGCTATTTGATATGTGGCCACTTTCCTAGAGTGTGTGTGAGGCAGTTCTCTCCCAGTACAAATCTTGTCTCATGGGACAGTTAGTTTTCGGCTGAGGACATGGGAAGCATTCACAAATGCTCGTCATGGCTATTGCTGTGATCATGACAGTTTTCCGATTTGGACATTCCTTTCTTTTTCTTTTTCCTTTTTTTTCCTGTCTTTTTCTGCCTCCCAAAGTGCTGGGATTACAGGCGCGAGCCACTGCGTCCAGCCCTGACTTTCCTTTCTTTAAACCCGCCGAACTTTGTCATCTCTGAGACAGCACTTGTATTTTAGCTCATCCAGATAATGAATATCACGTGTTATGTTGAACATAATATCTAACATATCTGTAGACCCTTTGGATTGCTGCGGCTAACAGGTCGATGATTCGCCGGGCTTGGCGTTCATTCTCTTTGTGGTTTTCCTTACAGCTTACTGCGTCCCTGTTTACAAACACCTGGTTATCTATCTATCTATCTATCTATCTATCTATCTATCTATCTATCTATCTATCTATTTTTGAGACGGAGTCTTACTCTGTCACCCAGGCTGGAGTGCAGTGGCACGATCTCGGCTCACTGTAAGCTCCACCTCCCGGCTTCATGCCATTCTCCTGCCTCAGCCTCCCGAGTAGCTGGGACTACAGGTGCCCACCACCACGCCTGGCTAATTTTTTGTATTTTTAGTAGAGACGGGGTTTCACTGTGTTAGCCAGGATGGTCTCAATCTCCTGACCTCGTGATCCACTCACCTCGGCCTCCAAAAGTGCTGGGATTATAGGCGTGAGCCACCGTGCCTGGCCTCTGGTTAGCTATTTCTAATAACTGTGACGTATTCATCCCTGCAAACCCGGCCTGTTTCTACAGTTTTCTTCTAATGTTTTCTGCGCTTTGACTAAAGTCACATTAATCATGCGCTGATTTTCAGGGCTATCGGGATGGAAGGGAGTATACATACAATAGGCCTCACACAGCCTCTCCTAGAATTGTGCTGGAGTTTCCTTTTTTCCCTGGATGACCTCAGAGACCTTGTTAACATTTGTGACCTTCTGGGCTCCCTCTTTAATCCTTCCAGGAGAGCTGCCCTGTGTCGGTTCAGCCTTTGCATGTCCTCTCTGTCATTTGGGTCCCACCGGGGGTCGGTTCCTGGGAACTGGGTCCTTACATACTCTTGGGGGTTTTGGTAATCAGCCGGTGCCTGTTCCTCCAGCCACTTAGTCGCTGCTTGGAGCTCTCTCCACCTTTCATCTGTGTTAGAGAGGGACATGAGCATGTTCTTCCTGATGAGGTAGCATCATCCTAAGTGGGGTTATAGGTCAGGATGATAGTTTGGAAAAGAACAAGTAGAACTTGTGGCTTTTCAGTATAGGACGAAGTGTTTTTCCAGTTGAGAAGGTTGGCAGAGGTAAAGGGCTGGTACACAAAACACACCTCTCCACCATGTGACCATCCTCATCTATCCCAGTATACTGCTGTTCTCTCAGGGGCATTTGTATCCCAGTTTTGGGTCGTAAAGGAGCTGCCAAGGGAGGGGTTTCTCCCTAGGCTTCACATCCTCTCTCGTCTACTCTGGGTGGCCTAGAGTTGTGTGTGTCTTGTGGAGGCGCAAGTTCTGTGGGCTAAAGAGTGGGGAGCCTGTCTCCCTGGTAAGGGGAAGGCACCACCAGGATCACTGGTGCCATCTCCTGCAATGGGTCTTCTGGTGTTGGGTCAGACAGAACTTTAGGAGTTTTTTTCCTTTGGCAGGTGGAGCAGGATCTTTCCTTGGCTATCTGTCCCTTTGCTACTAGCACTGCTGCTGCCAGCCTTCTTAGCCACTGTGGGGGGTCTAGTACCAGCTGTAACCAAGTGTCTATGTACGGGAACTGGTCTGGGTGTCCTGGCTTTCCAGTTACCTTGTGCCATTTGAAACAAGAGACCTGTCCAGGCTTCCTTCTGAGGGCCAACCCACTTCTAATGCTGGCCAATCTATCTCACACAAAGTTCTAAGTTTCTCTGGTGTCATAGTAACTCCATAGTCTCTGTTAAATCCTTTCTTGAAATTTTTCAACATAGTTCGTAGCGGAGTGGGCTTACTTTGTGCCTGACCCATTTATCCTCAAGCAAAACAACACTCACACTACAAGAAAGAAAGGGTAAAAGGTCACTGACTCATCTAATTCACACTAAATCAAAATCAAAACCAAAGCCAAAGTGTCATTAAAGGCACACCTGTTCATCAAGCAATTCAAGCCAAGTTAAAACCAAAACCAAAGTGCCAATGAAGGCACGCCATGGGTGATCAGGCCACGCTTCCACTAAAATGGAGTGGGCAAGTTCCCAAGACCAGTCTTACTGTGTTTCAGATGACTGGGTTCCAGGTGCCAGTTCCTTCCCAGTGTTCAGCCACTGCGTTGATCCTCCATGGGGGCCTGCCAGGCACTGCTCTGATGAGGTGTTCCACTGGGGCAAATGCCTACCCGGGAGCACTCTCAGGATCCATGTCGCTCAAGCTGGCCAGAGTCTTCTGGAGGGATGCTCCACAGGGCAGGGCTAAGCCGCCGAAGGGGCTGCCTCAACCATCCATTAATCACCTTGCTTCCCAGTCAGGGAATCAAGAAATATAGCAGGACGAGCAGAAGACAAAACCCCTCAGACACTGGGTTAAAGAAAGACGTGGCTTTATTCGGCCGGGAGCATCAGCGGACTCGCGTCTCAAGAACCGAGCTCCCCGAAAAAGAAATTCCTGGCCCTTTTAAGGGCTTACAACTCTAAGGGGTCTATGTGAAAGGGTCGTGATAGATCGAGCAAGCATGGGGAATGTGACTGGGGGCTACATGCATCAGCTAATAGAACAGAAAGTTTTGCAATGCTTCACACAATGTCTAGAATTTACAGTAAGTAGTTTAGGTCAGGGGTTGATATTATTATTACTATTTTTTTTTAACCACCAGGGCCGAATGGTGGTGCCAAGGTTGTCTGGCTATTTCTCTTACTTCTGTTTCTTTCTAACTTTTTGTTTTCTTCCTTTCCTCCTGTCTTGAGAACTAGTCAAGGGGGAAGGAGGAGGGCCTTCTCCTATCTCAGAATATTCTCCTTTCTCAGAATAGAAAGAATGGGAATGGTCGACTTTACACCAAGACATTCCATTCCCAGGGACGAGCAGGAGATAGAAGCCTTCCTCTTATCTCAACCTCAAAGAGGCCTTCCTCTTTCACTAATCCTCCTCAGCACAGTCCCTTTATGGGTGTCGAGCTGGGGGATGGTAAGGTCTTTCCTTTCCCACGAGGCCATATCTCAGGCTGTCTCATTGGGGAAACCTTGGACAATACCCAGGCTTTCTTGGGCAAAGGTCCCTGTGACTTTCTGCAGTGCATTGTGCCCCTGGTTAATAGAGAATGGAGAATGGCGATGACCAAGCATACTGCCTGCAAACGTGTTGTTAACAAGGCACATCCTGCACAGCCCTAAATCCATTAAACTTTGATTCGATACAGCACATGTTTCTGTGAGCACAGGGTTGGGGCTAAAGTTACAGGTTAACAGCATCTCAAAACAGAAACAATTTTTCTTAGTACAGATCAAAATGAAGTTTCTCATGTCTTCCTTTTTTACATAGACACAGTAATAATCTGATCTCTCTTTCTTTCCTCACACAGGAAGTTGAGAAAGATATTCATGACTTTGAGTTTCAGTGGCAAGAAGATGAAAGAAATGCCCATGGAGCACCCATGACAAAAATAAAAAAGTTGGCCGGTAGTACAGACTGATATGATCAAAGGTTTGCTGGAAACAAGCCTATTAAAGACCAGCTGGGATCAAGCTTTTATTCACATTGGTCTGAACTCCACATATTTCAGACCGAAGGGAAAATTGGTAATCAAGTTGAGAAGTCTACTAATGATGGTTCTTCAGTTTCAACATCCCAAAGAATTTATCGTAGGCCCCAAACCCATATTTCTTATAACTATGGAAATAATTTCCTCAATTCATCATTACTCACACAAAAACAGGAGGTACACATGAGAGAAAAGTCCTTCCAATGTAATGAAAGTGGCAAAGCCTTTAATTGTAGCTCACTTTTAAGAAAACATCAGATAATTCATTTAGAAGAGAAACAATATGAAAGTGATGTATGTGGCAAGGTCTTGTTATTGTGGTGGAGATGATATCTCATTTAGGGGAATTTTTTTTTGTTTGTTTTCAATTATATTTTGTCAACATTTAAAAAGTGAAGTAAAGAGTATTTCTTGGCCAGGCGCAGTGGCTCACGCCTGTAATCCCAGCACTTTGGGAGGCCAAGGCGGGCAGATTACAAGGTCAAGAGTTCAAGAACAACCTTGCCAACATAGTGAAACCTGGTCTCTACTAAAAATACAAAAAATTATCCGGGCGTGGTGGCAGGCGCCTGTAATCCCACCTACTTGGGATGTTGAGGCAGGAGAATAGCCTGAACCCAGGAGGCGGAAGTTGCAGCAAACCAAGATCTGTACCACTGCACAGCAGCCAAGGTGACAATGTGAGACTCTGTCTCAAAAAATAAAATAAAATAGGGTATTTCTTGGGCCAGGCACGGTAGCTCACGCCTGTAATCTCAGCACTTTGGGAGGCTAAGGGAGGCGGATAACTTAAAGTCAGGAGTTCGAGACCAACCTGGCCAACATGGTGAAACCCCATCTCTACTAAAAATACAAAAAAATAGCCAGGTGTGGTGGCTGGCGCCTGTAATCCTAGCTACTCAGGAGGGTGAGGAAGGAGAATTGCTTGAACCTGGGAGGCAGAGGTTGCAGTGAATTGAGATTGCACCACTGCACTCCAGCCTGGGTGACAGGGTGAGACTCCATCTCAAAAAAATAAAATAGCTACTTCTCAAATAAGCTTTGGTAGAATTTTGTGAGCTCATATTGGTTTGTTTGTTTGTTTGTTTGTTTGTTTGTTTGTTTTGAGAGGGAGTCTTACTGTGTTGCCCAGGCTGGAGTACAATGGCACGATCTCGGCTCACTGAAACCTCCACCTCTTGGGTTCAAGTGAGTCTCCTGCCTCAGCCTCCCGAGTAGCTGGGACTACAGGTGCCCGCCACCACGCACGGCTATTTTTTGTGTTTTTAGTAGAGACAGGGTTTCACCATGTTGTCCAGGCTGGTCTTGAACTCCTAACCTTGTGATCTGCTGACCTTGACTTCCCAAAGTGCTGTGATTACAGCTGAGAGCCACTGCACCCCAGCCTCACATCATTGTTTTTTAACTATGTGTTCAAAATTTTCTCCTTTGACCCCACATTTCTTTAGAAGTATATATTTTTAACTGTTTTAATATAGTTTCTCTATGAAATGTATTGTGTTCAGTTTACATCGAAGACTGCGTGCTTTCTAGTCTGTATCATATATTGGAAACTTTTTCTGGTACCTGATAAATGATTTTAGGTTGTTTCAATGTGTATTTGATAAAGATGTCAAGGACCTACTTTCTTTCTCTTTTATTTATTTAATTTTTTTTGATGGAGTTTCACTCTTGTTGCCCAGGCTGGAGTGCAATGGTGTGATCTTGGCTCACCGCAACTTCCGCCTCCGGGGTTCAAGCGATTCTCCTGCCTCAGCCTCCTGAGTAGTTGGGATTACAGGCGCCCACCACCACGTCCGGCTAATTTTGTAATTTTAGTAGAGATGGGGTTTCTCCACGTTGGTCAGGCTGGTCTCAAATTCCCGACCTCAGGAGATCTGCCCGCCCCGGCCTCCCAAAGTGCTGGGATTTCAGGTATGAGCCACTGCACCTGGCCCTAGGACCTATTTTCTTTACACTAACATAAAAATTTAGTTCAAGTAGCCTATCACTCCATTTTCTTTCCTTATGTCATCTGATAAAATGGTGAACTGTGAGCTTCTAAGTAAACATTCCCCTCAAGTTCCTCTAGTCCATAATATTCTTTGCAGATGTTGAAGGATGGGCTGGATTGACCTGGAACCTTGTTTCAGCAGAGCCCATGTGTTCATGAAGAAAACATTTGCTCACAGCTTAGTTCTACCGCTGCCTCAATTTCAGTGTTTTAAAAACCTATAGCTATGTGTTCACAGTTGTGTTTATTTTGAACGTTATTACTGTCATTTTTCTGGGAAAATAATTACATGTTTACGATTCGTGCCATCAGAATCTTGGATGTTGAAAGGGACATTTCTTTTATATAAATGATGGTCCTGGAATTGTTTTTTTCCTTTTTCTGAGACGCAGTGTCACTCTGTCACCCATGCTTGAGTGCAGTGGCACGATCTTGCCTCACTGCAATCTCTGCCTCTGAGGCCCAAGTGATCCCCCCCGGTCAGCCTCCCAAATAGCTGAGACCACAGATGCACACCACCATGCGTGGCTAATTTTCTGTACTTATGTTAGAGATGGGGTTTCACCGTGTTGCCAGGTTGGTCTCAAACTCCTGGGCTCAACTGATCCACTTGCTTCAGCCTTCCAAAGTGCTGGGACTACAGGAGTGAGCCACCACACATGGTCAGTCCTGGAATTTTCTAGAGGAGGATGACCAACGCTGTCTGTTGACCCCTCCTGGCCATCACATGAAAACCAGCGACGACTCCTTCCAAAACTCAGAGCTTCTCAGGATGACTTGGGGAAATGTCCCCTGCTGTGAACCTCAGTGAGCCTGCCTGTAACATACAGGTGAGGGAGAAGACCAGAAAAGCTCAGTCAGAGTGACACTGACCCTGAAATGATGAGCACAGTGGAGTGTGTGGCTTTTCCTGTAGGAGAGGGAGGTGCTTAGTTGTAATTTGAATTTTAAGTGGATTCCAGTCCTCCAAAAATGTAAAAAACAAAAGCACAAGAATGGGAAAAACAGGGGATTAGACTCAAATCACCTTGAGCCTTATCATCTCAGAGCTTTAACCCACCTACACGGCTCCATGTCCCCTGCAGGCCTCGCCACTGAGCTCTACAGTCCTGTGTCCAGTTGTCTCCTCCTCTATCGGGTCATCAAACAGTCATCTCCACCTTCCTGTGTCCATAAGTGACTTCTTAAACCCCAAACACATTCCCTTGCAGTCTCGCACGTCTCAGATGAGGGTGACAGTGCACTTCTGGGAGCTTAGCTGAAATTGACAGCATGTATTTTAAATATGGGAAATGAATTCCATTATTTGTAAGTGTTGTCATTTATAATGTAAAGAGAAAGTTGCGTGTATACATGAAAGGAGTGAGAAAATACATCATTTCCAACATTCTTTTGAGATATGAGAGAAAAATGTTTCATAACCTCATCCTTAGGGATCTGTGCTCCCAGGACCCCTCTGACCTCATCTCCTGCCTGCGTCCTCCTCACTCCCTCTGCTCCAGCCACGCAGGCCTCTTTCCTTTTTCTGGGACTGAGGTTGCTTTTGTCTCAGTGCCTTCACCTGAGATGTCCCTCTGCCTAGGACTCTCTGGCCCCTCAGCTGCAAGTAACAAGCAGCGTTTCATACCTAAGTCTTTGTTCTGACATTACTTTCTCTATGGAAACGTTTGTGATCGCCCACAGTCCCCATTTGACATGGTAGCTCCACCTTCACCCCCACCTCTGGTCCACGTTGCCTGTTCTGTGTGATTCTTTTTGCTCCTTCGCTGTTCACTGGATCCTGGTGGGAACAAGTACGGAAGCAGAGAGCAGAGCCAGAAGGTGGGGCTGCACTGGGCTGGTGCCGTCTGAATAGAGCAAAACCCTAGCTTCACATTAGGGTTCTCAGGCATTTTGCAAATACATCTTTTATGCTGTTTTATCGGAGATTGCTGTTATCATAGGATTAAACCCACCCTCAATAATTCTTACAATGACGCTGGTGATTCTCATCTGTGTCCAGCACGGAACGTCAAGGAAATTTCTTTCATCTTGAGAACTGAGATCAGCCTGTGATCCACAGGGAGGTGAGGGGATTGTGCTCTGCATGGGGTTTGGTTAGGGCCAGATCTGTGCCCTGAAGATCTGTGCCCTGCTGCAGCGTGTGTGTGTGGACTTTTCCAGGAGGGAGCAAGATCTGAAAATGGGTCAAAATTACCCTTGTAGGTCTTCCTGTGGGACTTTCTTATCTCTGCATGATCTCTGGGACAGTGGGCAGCAGAGGACCATCTTTCTCCCGGGTAAGGTCTCCCCTGTGTGTGTGTTTTGTCACAGGTAAGGAGTGAGTGGTTTCTAAACATTAAATCTCTTATTATTATTATTTTTTTTCACATACAGGATTGATTTCCAAAGAGTCATGTTACTTGGCTTGGTGGAAGCCACCAAGAAGAGCATAAGAAAGGGATCCCCAGGGGGATTGGCTGTTCCTCAGGTGAGTGGATATTCCTCGGTGGATTTCTGCTGTCTCTTTCCTTTTCTGAAAATGTTTCAGGTTATTTGGATGTAGCCAGTTTTCTGTGAAGTCTGAAGCGTCCTGCTCAACGTTTGCTCGCACTCACCCATGCCTTTTCTCAGTCCTTGTTCATCTTCACTTAATTCCATTCTCCTATACCTAGTGAATTGAGGCTTGGGAAGAGGCTCCCCTGGGCATGGTCCTGGGAAGGGCTCACACACAGACATGGATGGAGATGGGATGTTGGACCGTGCTGTTCAGTGATGTTGGGCAGCAGGATTGTTAGGGCCACATCTGGGCAATGGCCGTTCAGTACTTTTGTGGACCAGATCAGAGGAAACTGTTGACCAGGATCAGAGTGAAACTGTATATGAAAAGTCATTACATTAATGTGACAGGTAATTATCTGGTAAATTCTTGGAAATGGAGACAAATTTAGGAGGAGATACTTTGTTGTCTGATTTTGTATGGATTGAGCTACCACCTAGTGAAGTCAATATGTCTGACTTGAAACTTTCTTTTTTTTTTTTTGTCTTTTTTTGAGGAGTGAGTCTTCGCTGGCGGCTCACTGTAAGCTCCGGTCCTCTGCCGAATTACACGCCATTTCTCCTGCCTCAGCCTCACTGAGTAGCTGGGGGCTCAGGCGCCCGCGCCCATTCACGCCCGAGTAATCGTTCATATTTTTAGTAGAGATGGGGTTTCACGGTGTTAGCAGGATGGTCTCGATCTCCTGACTCCATGATCCGCCGCCTCAGCCCTCAAAGGTGCTGGGGATTACAGGCATGAGCCACTGCGGCCCAGTCGAAACTTTTTTCTTAAGAGACAGGTGTCACTCTTGGGCCCAGTCTGGAGTGCAGTGGAACAATTCTAGTTTACAGCAGCCTCAGATTTGTGGGCTCAAGTGATATCCACATTAGCCTCCTAAGGAGCTAGGATGACAGGCATGTGCCACCACACCTGGCTAATTCTAATTTCGGAGAAGGTGAGAAAGAGCTATGTACAGAATGAGGGAGGGAAACAGTAATGAAGACAAAGAGGGACCCTGGGTGCAGATGTGCGGTGAGTTGATTGGATGTGATGATGAAGTGATGACATGCTGCTTTCTCTGTTTAGAAGGTAACAAATTTAAAATTTGTTTAAATTATACAGATGAGAA